TTTATTTAATTATTATTAAGTATGTTTTTGCGCAATTTTTGTTTAAAAATGCGCCCGACTTTTGTCTAGTGAGTGTACATGACTGTATTGCAGAGTCACCAAATCTTGCACAATAATGTTCAAACTAAACTAAAATCACCATATACAACTACAATACTTGAGGCGCCCCTATAAGCAATATAGTAAAATTAATAAAGGGGACCCTAACTAACAATTAAATGTTGGCCAAACCATTAATCATCAGAAAGGGTTATGAATCAATCAATCATGCCAGATTATTAATTAATGAAAGTGTTATTTTTATTACAAAAGTGTTATTATTGAAAAATCAATTTTTTTCACTGAAGGAGATTTCAGGCATACTTCTTGAAGTATTACAAATAACATAACTTTTTGTCCGATAAAATAAGATAAAGTAGAATTACTAATTGACAATTACTAATGTTAAATGTCAAAAATGCATCATTGATTGATGTCATGATGTCATAATTATATGATACCTGACGAAATGGTTTTGTCATAATTAATTAAAAATAATAAATTTATATTCATTGAAATGTCAAGTGTTGATGATAATTTGTCTTTCTTGAAAATATTATTAAACAGAAAATATGGCAATGTGACTTTGGACACCAATTCCATTCAATTCATTAACAGCATAGAAGACTTTGATTAACTTTCTTTGAAGTCAATACAGCTTTAACAGGGTAGGTTTCTGTATTATTTTTGCAGAAAAATCAATTAATCAGCCAAATAAACCCTGAACTAGAGATAAATCTGATTTTCCTTTTATTTATCAGATCAACTCACTTATTTCACTTATCAAAAACCATGCTTATTGATCCAGAATTAAAAGGGCACAACAATCATGATTGTTATATTTGTAGTCCTACTCTAAACCTAGAAACATTATCATCAAATCCATCCATCATCTTTAAATACTGTTAGTTCTCAAACCCATAATAAAAAATAAATAATTTATGAGGAGGAAGTAAAAAAGGAATATTACTTGAAAGTATTTCTTTAAATGAAACCAATCAGAAGTTCAAGGTGCTCAAAATCTTAATGATGAATATAAATCATTACAGCAAGACTACTTTTTAATCAATGCTTAGAATACAAAAACACAATAACTCAAACATTAATAAACATTTGGATGAAATTGATAGGTATTTAGAAGACAATAAAATATAAATGTAATCAAATGGTGAAATGCTGCAGAAATCACAGAATGTGTATTTAAAAACTAAAACGGAAATACTTTCCCTTAGTGTTAATAAAAATTACTATTACCCGTAATTGCAAAATAAAAAAAATAAAAAAATGTTGTTTATAAAAAACCCAACAAAAAAAAAACAATTATTTGAAATAAATGATATAAGATACGATGTAATGAACTAAAAGTATTGATGAAATGGAAAAAATGATGATGATGATGATGATTTGCTGAATGAAGAAGAAATAATTTCTATGTTGAATTTTAATGAATAGACATCTCCTATTTCAAGTCAAGATGCTTTATTGGCTATTGAAAAAGTAAACTTGTTTGTTGAAGAACAGTTTAAGGAATTTACAAATGAGGAATTGAAACTGTCAAAGAAAATTAAATAACAAATAAAATTTTTTTATTCCACACGACTTAATGTAGTACAATTTTTTATACCAGATTAAGATTCTCTCTATAACGGATAAATTTCCTGGTCCCAATGATCCGTTATAGACAGTGTGGATTGGAATTTGGGATGTCTGTGGGATTTGTACCATTTTTGACATTGGGTTTTGGGTATTGGATTTGGAAATTTGGGACTGGGACTTAAAATTATGTATTTTTTTGCAAAAAACATCCGCAAATTTGCGCAGCATCATGAAAATATCCAATTTTATTGGTGGGTTGGGTGCGTGTTACCTTATTTAGAAATTGATTTGGCGATTTGCGGATGTTTTTTGCGGATTATTTGGGACTTGGCCTTTTTGAGTTTGGGCCAGCAAGTATATTTCTAATACAGTTTCTTATTCGAATCATTGTTATTATTATTATTATTATTATTATTATTATTATTATTATTATTATTATTATTATTATTATTATTATTTATTATTATTATTATTATTATTATTATTATTATTATTATTATTATTATTATTATTATTATTATTATTATTATTTCATTTTATTCGAATTATATCTTTTATTCGTTTTATTCGTTTAAAAAATAAAAAATATCAATTCACAACTTGATGTAACAAATTCTATATTGCTGTTGTTGTTATTGTTAATGGATTGTAAAATTACAATAATTGTAATCTATATTACTACTGTTATGGATACCATTACTATTTAAATAAAATGGTCAATTATTTCTGCTACCTTATGTATTATTATACAAGGAAAATAGATTGATAAAATTTTTTTAATTGGATTGGATTAGCAATGTGAATATATTATTTAATAAACTTTCAATTTAATTCGAGTAAAACCTTATTCGAATAGAAATCATACTATTTAAGAAAATTTTTTTGGTCCGATATTTTTTGAAGATTTCCAATAAAATTTTCCCAAACCGGGGTATTCCCCGATATTTTTTGATCACACATTCCGCACCCTGGTGTATACCCAGCCAAGACTTTTTTTCATTAATAATTTGGAACCTAAGCAACAATGAAATAGAGTTTTTTTTTAATAATAAAAAAAGCCTTAGTGGTTTGAAGTTACTATCAAAAATGAGATCAAACAAATTTTCTTTATATTTTCAAATTTGGTTAGAACGCGTAGATCACACTCACTACCATTTATTTATATATCTTCTAGCTGTTGAAATTCAAAAAATTAAAAGAAAAAATGAAATGGAGACGAATCTCAACCCAACTTAAAATAATAATACTCTTTCTTGTAGTAATAATCATCGTAACATACAACATATCATATATCTCTTTTAAACTTAGATCAATAGGTTTGCAAAACTTTATTAGAAAAAGTATTAACGAAATAAATATTTTAACTGTTTTTATATATATTAATATATAGGTCGATTAGTGACAAAAGAGCAAATTTTTAGGTTTAGTTACAATCATGACCAAGCAGTATATAACCAAAAGAAACATCCCTTTACAATAGTAACGGCAGCAAGTTCCAATCATTTTTGTGAAGTACAAAGTTGGCTTTACTATATGAAAGGGACAGTTGACTCGATGCCAGCATCTAAACGACCCAGGATTTTAGTTTACGACATTGGATTGGTGAACTATCAGAAAAAATGGTCAAGAGTCTTACTTGAGAAGGGATATTTAAATGAATTCAGGGAATTTGATTTTGAAAAGTATCCGGGATTTTGGAAAATAGATAACGTGACTAGAGGAGAATATGCATGGAAGGCTGGTATAATATCCGAGGTTATTAAAGATTATCCTGGGCCAATATTTTGGCTCGACTCAGGAACTTATGTAAAGTCGGAATTTTTGAAACGATTTAATCTCATTTTGGATTATTACGATGGTTTCTTTTCACCTAGATCATCTGGTAAAATGTTAAAATGGACACATCCAGGCGTTTTCAAATATTTTAATGACGATCCAAAAAAATATTCAGATTTTGTAAATTGTAATGGGGCAGCAATAGCATTAGATTCGAATAGAGTAGAAAATTTAATAAATAATTGGGTAGAATGTGCTCTAGTAAAAGAATGTATTGCTCCAAAAGGCAGTAATAGAGAAAACCATCGACAAGATCAAGCAATATTAACATATTTTGTAGCAAGAGAGAAACGGCACTGTGTAAACAGATTGGGAGTTTTTGGATTGAGGACTCACATGGATAGAGAATGTGCGAAAAATATTTATTTCTATGAAAAATTAAATAACATTACCTGGTCTCCAACTAAAGAGGATTTGAAAGAGATTGAGGATTTGAAAGAGATATTCATTGATCATTATATATATGATATTTGGAATCCTGGAGCTGAAGAACAAACACTGGAAAGAATTCGTAATAATGAAACATTCTAAGCATTAAGAAGATTTATTAAAAAATATGTTTTTTATTTTATTGGGAAAATACACATGTACATTAATAAATATAATTCTAAATTCAACATATCAAATTATTAATGGCCAGTTTTTCTCTTTCTTGTTTTTTTTTTCTCATTATTAATCAGACTATTCTGATCAAGATGAAAGAAAGAATTAAATTTCCTGAAAAACCAATTTCTCGATGTAACGTTATTGGACCTTTCCTATGCATAGAGATCGGCACCACCTAAAAATTCTTTAATCAGTAAATACCCGATTATTATTATCTGCTGATTATCCACCAATTATCCGTATTCCATTAAAAATTGAGGTTGGCACCCGTTCCACCAATTTTAATGGTTAATTATCAATATTGGTGTTACAAGTTGGAATATTTACTTTTTCCTTTTGAGTGGGACTTATGACTAGAGTTTCTATTCGTAATATAATCCTTATTCGAATTATTCGTTTTATTCATTCATTTTATTCGTAATACAACTCAATCTTAACTCGAATTTATCCCATTTATTCGAATTATTCGTTTGATCCATTTTATTCGAATAAACATTCAGTGCAATTCGAATACTCAAATTCATAACGAATAAAAACAAAATTTTTATTCGAATAGAAACTCTACAATGACTATTTGCTAGCATAAAAAAATTTAAATTATTATTATTATTATCATTTCAAGGGAAAAGCCAATTACTACAACTATTATTATTAATTGACTAAATAAAAAACGTCAATTACTAGTATTATTACTATCACTACAAGGACTGACTACAAAGGGAAAAATAGAACTGACAGAAAAAATTATTAATTGGATAATGATAGTGCATATACTATAATCGTATTAGTATGATTAATTGCCGATTATCCACCATTGAATATTTTCAATGACTAAATAAATAATCAATGAATTTTTTTGGTGGATAAGGAGACCATTAATACTAATTAACGCAATATATTACTTTTTTCGAAATTATTTTAAAAGTCGGGAATTGATTTTGCACTTTGTAATATTAATATATATGTGTGTATGTGTATTATATATATTATTATTATTTAAGTGCGAAATAGATCACCAGCATCGCTCGATTAAACCAAATAATATTCACACTTTTCAAGTTGAAGCGAAAACTGAGGGTGGAGATTGGGGGTGGAGATATTTGGTTGGGTCCATCCGCTGCTTCCAAAAAAGCTGACTGTTGTAAAATTAGAAAACCCGGGAAGGGAAAATTAGTTTTAAGCCAAAACAATATCTTTAGTATAACTTATGGAACTATACGTTAAACAAACAAGACGGTAAATTGGGAGGTGATTGGATCGTAATAATAAATTATTATTATTAGCTAGTTTTTATTAGCATCACAAACAGACAAATGCCACAATTGTAATATTAGCCAATATTTCAAATAACCATACTAACGCCATTTTTTATTAGTTGATTTTTGGGAGAGCAATATAAACAATAGATTGCGATGATCGGGTATTTTTATTAACGAATATTTTTGGGCATGATTTGATTATCTTCAAGAAAACTTATTCTCAAAGTACATTGAATTCGAGTTGTTTATATACATGTTTTATAATTAGAGGTCTACTTTGACGATGTTATCGACTAAGTCTATTATTATTGTGCTTCAGTCGACTTTATCGACCCTAGTAATACGTAAGTAACCGGTATATTTCTAAGTAATGCACAAAATGATAACGCTATCGCGTAACAATATTAATATTAAGAATAGGGACGAGCAGATAAGTACTATACGTATCCCTTAAACGGTTAATCAGCTATTGATAGCCGATAAAATTTTTCTGATGTAAAAAATTTTTTCTGGGGGCATCACTTTCTAATATGAAAATGATCTTTGAGATTCAGCCGATTAATCTATAAATAAAAATCCGGTTGTTGTCCTTGTAGTTTTTGTAAAATCTTCTTTAAAAGTTAGTCGATTGACTGTTTTTGCTTTGCAGATCGTTAAATTGACCAACATATATATAGTAGATAAATTCCTGTTTAGGTTATTACCAAATGATGTTACACGTAAAAATTAAATACGGTATATATTTTAAACTTACCATGACTTGCCAAAGTGCAATTTTGGCAACATTTTAAACATATTGATAATGTTAATGTTATAAGTAATTACGTTTTGAATGTCTATATTGCAAAAATATCAATGTACTGGTTCAGTATTTATATGTGAAAACCATTTACGCCTTTGTCAAATGCTACAATTCAAACTAAAAGAAATTATTTTTGGAGAACATTTAGATGCTTCAAATACTAGTAAACAGATAAACTACCACGTAATTGAGAAATTTATGAAAATTCCATCGAAGAAGCTGATGAAATACATGAAAATTTTATTAAAGAATCAAATAAAAGTGAAAAAAGTTTTGATTTTTATGATATTTAATTCATTCAATATAATTAATAATTCATTCAGTATAATTAATAATTCATTAAATATATAAATCAAATCTTTAATACAAAAAGATAAAAAGTGCAAGTTGAATAAATTAAATAAAGATTTAATGTTCGTGTTTATTGTAATGGCCAAATAATTTATTTTCAGTTTTGTATTTTACATTTTGCAAATCATCCAATCAAATTTCAACACTATTACAGTCAAACTTTGTTATAACGAATTTCAAACTAGTACACATTTAGAAAGTATCTTAAAGAAATATCCAATCAAATACAATATTTCTGAAGATACTTTCTAAATTTGTACTAGTTTAAAATTCTTTGACGCACATTTGCCCATCTCTAATTAAGAAAGATCAACATTCTCCATTATCGAGCTCCGTCGAGGTGTTAGAACAGTTTCTCCGGATAATCGTCGTAGAGCTGCTATTTTTTGAAATTCGTCTCTTGGATCATTTTTGATATCGCAGTCATAGTTAGCTAATGAACGTGAAACAAACAAAGTTATTCTGGTCCTTTGCCCAGATAAATTTCCGATTATATCCTTCTAAGAAATAGCTTGCTCTTGCATCGCTTCTTCCATTATAAATTCTGATGGTAAGTAGTAGGAGGTATTAATGCGGAACTCTACTGGAAATGTAGCTTCTTATCCATATGTTAGATAGAATGGCTCACGCACGTCTTGTATTTTTTTCCATATAATTGGGAATAAACATTAAGAGATCAAATTTACACGTATCAGTCAGTTTATACTGCAAATTTTAGAGAACAAAGTTGAGATATCTTTTATTTATATACAAACACTCTAAAAAAATCCATATTGTTTTATAGAAAATAAAATAAAATGTATATAAATATACTTATTTATTTTTTTGTAATAATAATTCTTATACTACAAAAATCAAAAGTCATTATTGTCGTATTTAGTATATCTATATATTTACCATCATAAAAATTCAAAATAATAAATTGTTTTTGCGCGTCAAAAAAAATAAAAAAAAAAAAAATAAAATAAAGGGAGAGAAATATAAACTAATCTTAATAATTGAATTATGAATCAAAGGATGGAAATTTAGACCAAGGAAAGAGAAGATGGCAATTTGAACTTTACGGAAAGGTTTTTTATTTTTGCAATAGATCAAACAAATAATATGATGATGTTATGGTGTTGTATGAGGATGAAGGTATGGTAAGTAATAGTAATTAATACTAACACAATACTTTTCTAAAGAAAATAAAACTAAAGATAAACTAAAAAAAAAAAAAAAAATAAAAATAAATCTATATCTATATTTGTTTTGTATATATATATTTTTTTTGTGTATTTTTTTGCATGTTTTTATTTAAAAGCCTAATCAATAATGCTGTATAATATAATAATAATAATTGTTATTGATATTTCTTCCTATTAAAGTCTTTTCATGCTTCTTTTTTTATCAGCTTGCTTCTTATCTAATTTCTTATCACTAGAGGCAACACGTTTCTTTGGTGTTACACTTGTGTGATTTAAATTATCGGATGAGATGGAAGCCGTAGGATTCTTTTTTATGTTTGGATGAGATTTTTTTGATTCGTTGATTGATTGAGACGGAGCAAGTGGCGTTGTGATCATCATCGGATTATTGTTGTTATTGTTATTGGTATTATTGTTAGTATTTGGTGCAGACGTTTTAGTTTGTGCAATATTCGTAGAAGTAGTTGGTATGGTAGTAGATGGTGGTAATGGCGGTGACGACGACGACGATGATGATGATGGCGAGATGAATTTCTTTGAAGATGAAGAAGAACAATTTGGTGTGTGTATTGTTGATGTAGGTGATGATGATGTGGTGGAAGTTATCATAGTACTGCTGATAGTTGTGGCGGTGATGGCGTTATTATTATTGTTGTTGTTGTTATTATTATTATTATTGTTACTACTACTACTAGTATTGTTTGATGCAGTATTATTACTATTATTACTGTCGTTATTATGACTATTGCTGTTATGATTATTATTTGTAAAAAATTCCGATATTTTGTTTTGTGCATGAATTTTTGTCATCATGTTAGCATGTTTAGCATATTCTTCGTATTCTTCTAAAAGTAATTTGCCAGCTTCTTCGTTAAGCGCAGATTCCGGATTAGGAAAAATCAAGAGACATTTTACAGTCTTCAAATATGTACGTATGCGCGTAAGAAGCGTGTGGAATAATGAATGTTAATACATTTATATACGTTATATGTATCTAATAATAATTATTTATTACCAGTAAAATCCTCTCAATCCCAAAATCTTTGTTCCAATCTTTTTTTAGTGTATTTACACAAACTTCACCAGATTTTGAAACATTTGGATGAAAGATTTTGGTTATGAAATGGCCTGTTGTTGATTTGATGTTCATAGCGATAATAATAATAATAATAATGGTTAGTAAATCATTATTTTTGTATTTATTGATTGATTAATTAATTGATTGATTGGTTACATTTTGGAGGTACTGATGGAAAATCGGTGCCTAATACCACTTTAATCTTAAACATTCCTTCTTCGTAAGGTGTTCCCTCTACATATTTTCAAAAGAAAATAGAAAAGATCAATATCATTCATTACCATCATTTTACAAAGAGAAAAAAAAGGTCATTTGAAGCTATCTGTAGTTAAACTAGTCGGTTAACTAACCAGGCCCTAATATCCAAGCTTGAATATCACAAACATCCAGCTCATTAATGATAACTCTAATTCCTTCTGGAGGCTGTGCGACAAGAACGTTCAACTCCTTGGATATTCTTTTGATGATAACTGGTGAAATGTTTTCAATAGCTGACTATAATAAAGGAGAGATGCATAGAGAAATACACGTGCATATATACATTGACAAATACGATATGATATGTTTTAAATAATCAGAATATATTTAAAAGAAACAAAGAGCCAAAACAAAACGTGTTACCATTTTAAAAAATACCAAAGAAATTAGTTAATATTTCCAAAAATTTTTTCAAAAAAAGAATAAATAGATATATGGAAATGTAAATTACCATGTTTCTAAGCGACTATTTATTTAAATTTACAATAAATATTTCTATTTTGATTTTTTTTGGTTTTTTTGTTTTGAATGTAAAAATAATTTTAAAACAAAAATTTTTATATAAATATTCACGTTGTTACACCAAATTTGCCAAATTACATTATTATTACGTATTTTATTTTCCCATAAAAATAATCTTAACTCTTATTATTGCCTTTTTTATTTAAATATTCTATTGCTTTTTTTATTATTATTAAAAATATTAACAAAAAATTGTATATAGGAAACGTTAAAAATTTTTTAAGATAATGATTCCTTTTATAATAGACAACGATCTACGAAGCTCATAAAATAGACGGTATTTGGCTTATTTATAATTATTAAACTTAAATTTAACATTTTCACATGTTAATCTTCTTGAAGCATTTCCCTTTGAGGGTCTCTTGGTGTTACAAAAATCAATAACAAACGAAATGGATTGATTATATGAAAGCGCAAACCTTAGCAAAATATAGAATCAACTATTTTCATAATTATCTAAAAAAGTTCATTTTTAAATTTGGACCTTAAATCGAAGAAAATAAGGATTCTTTCATACGGTAATAATAATAAATAAATTAATTCGTTCGGTTTCATCCGAAATTTTTTCATTTTAATTTCCTCAATGTGTATATATATAAATAAATAACCACATTTATCATTCGCGTTTTACTTTTGGAGTTGTGATCATTCCGTTCTATAATAAAAACAGTTTTTCAATAATATAGTTTTTAACTAGCATTTATCCATAATTCATTTCAATTAACGAACTTTTTGGAAATATAGTTACATTTGCATTTACCGTTTTGGCAGTTTCGACTACCAATTTTTCATAATGACTAATTAATTGTTAAAAGGGGTAAGAGTAATACCATTGATAATGAGAAACTTGCTTCAATTACTGCAAGAAGTGATGGAGCATTAATTAGAAGAGACATCATCCCCTTGATGTGATGTACAAGTTTGCCACCAGACTTGTACATATTAAAGTTGTGACAAAAATTAATCCGATTTACTAATGGGCTTCATCGAATCCACCTTTAGCCAAATATCTAATATCTTTGAAATCGTTCAATGGAGTCGTCCATTCAATAAAAACATTCTCGTTTGAATCTTTTTTACATTCGTGCGACGTCTTTATTTCCACGATCTGTTGCTAACCTCTCGATTTTTTTGTTGCAAACAATACAATTTATTCAAATTGATATCCGTCTTTATGAACAAAAGATTATCATAGTAATTTTTTTTTCTTTTGTATGATTAATATGGATAGATTGATATGTATAAATTGATTCGATCGATAATGGTTTTGATTCGTCTAACAAACCAGAAATAGAATTTTCTTAAATAGGAAGTATTTATATTATATTGTTTGATTAATTCAAAAAATATTGATCAGCTTTATTTTTTTTTTTTGTCATTCTTTTTCATTCTTTTGCCCTTGTACGTTTATTAATGGCTGAGGAATTTTTATCACCCTCCTTAACCTTTACCAATACTGCTAATTATAGTAATAACAATAATAAAAATGAAAACTATCACGACAAAAAGTATGACTGTGTTAATAACAATAGTGAAATTTACCATGAAAAACAAAGATTTTGGCTTTGTGGAAAGGTAATTTAGGAATAAGGTTTAATTAATGTATACATCAATTAAACAATTAATTAACTATTACCATTACTGTTTATCTGTTATAAGCATACTTTAAACAATCTTGTAAGTTAATTTTAAAATCTTTATTTTTTTTTATTTTTTTACTAAATAAATAAATAAATAATAAATAAATTTTTTGCATTTTTAAAAAAAGTTTCAATGTCAACTATTTACAAGATCAAAACTTGATGAAATTGCAATAAAACTTGCACAGGATTCAATAAATTCGGGAGTTAATGGCAGTTCCAATAGTTATATTGAGTATGTAAAAAATATTTATAATTCATATTTTAATCAGCATAAAAGTATTTTGTAAGTAATAAATAAATATATATATTATTAATTTATTATATAATTGATTTAACATCACAAATGTTGATTTATTTATTTATATCTTTCAAGTGGATTAGGTAATTATGATGTTAACGTGTTGCAAGCAGCTTTAGAAGAACATGGTTTAGAAACTCAATGGTTTGATTCTAGAAAAGGTACAAAGAAAAAGAAGGCATTATAAGAGATTAATAATTATATAAAGGATAAATAATCATTAATTGATTTATTAATGTGTTAAAAGATATTCGTACAGTAATACAATTTAATGACAAAACACTATTTGGATTGATATTAAATGTTATGCAAACTAAATTTTATTTTTGGAAATCCAATCACTGGTTTGCAATTAAACCAATGTTTGATAACATTAATAATAATAATAAAGAAGATGGGGATGGGGATGGGGATGAAGATGATGTTAGTGATGGGGAAGAATATGCCACCAACAAATTATTATTAGAGGATGCTACAGTTTGGAATTTAGATTCAAAATTATCAAAACCTCATAAATTTTTAAATTCAGAAGAGGTAAGTAAAGGTCATCTTTGATTAATCAATTAATTATGTTTAATCGATTAATTGTTATTATTTATTTAAGGCTTATAGATTTCTTGAAATAAATGTTTATCATAAAAATTCCCAACTTATCATTGTAAAATCAAAGTTAAAAGGCTAACGATTTATTTTATTAATAGCTATTTTAATTATAAGTTTGCTATATTATATATATTTGTATTATATTATATTATATTGTGCAACCCATGTATGTCAATACAGTAAAATTATTATTTCTTCAATTAAATTCTTCTTGCCTCTGCTTGCATCACCACCAATACCACCTTCTTTACCGCCTGTAAGAACTTTACTAGTTTTAGAAAGGATGTGTTGAGTATCAAAAGACAACGATGTTGTATTATCTTCTCCAATTAAATCAAAAGTATGTAATATATACCTAATAATCGAGTAAATACTCCAGCAAAAAACTATGAAAAAAGCAGTAACACGTGATGCAAAAATCATTATGATCATTACAGGAACAAAGAAAAATGATCCAACACCAATGAAAAATCCTTTGGCCAAAAAGATTCTGGTACCAATGATCAACACAACAATACTTGTTGTAACAAAAAGAAATGTCAATAGGATTGTTAAAGGTATGGCATTTAACGCTATCACTCCATAAGTAAACCAACTTAAAGGAGGAAAATTTTCCCAAAAGAAGGATGTTGCTTTTTGCACATAATATATAGGATGTGTGTAGCGACTTTTTGCTTTTTTGTGCTGCATGACCAATAACTTGTTTAGTTTCAGAAATCGCTGGTTTTAATTTTTCTATAATTGTAGAAGTGGCATCTTCTGCTGCCCCTGAAATAACTTTTTTCGATGACTATAAGTTTCTGATTCTAGTCGTTTTCATTGTCTCTCGCCGCCTTCTTGTTCTTCTTTTTCTTGTTGCTGTTGCCGTTCTATTTGTTCTAATTGTTCTCAATAATTATCACCATTATCGCCGCCAACTTGAGCCATTTCTATCTAATTGATGATGTTAATTATAATTTTTTTAGATGAAAGAAAAAAAATAAAGAAATCTGTTTTTTATTTTATAATTTAATAATTCATCAATCATTACATAATAGATTAATCACAATAAATTAAAAAAAGCCATATTATATTATAAATAATTAATAAATAAACATAAATATTTTTCTTTTATTAATCATTTTATTAAAATTAACAAACAATTTAATGATTTAAGCAGAAAAAAAATGTCAAAGTAATTAATCGTGATAATCACTGCCATTTTGGCCTGGACACGTTCAAAAATTATCAATTCATCTGGCTTGGATTAAATCCCCAATTCGTTTTGGACGTGTTATTTATTATTTTAATCATTTTTTTTTTTGATATTTCAAAAATAATTTGTAAAATCACGTGCTTACCAGTTTTTTGTGTTCCAATTTTTATATTAAATATATATAATAGACAGAATAATCATTGTGAATCCTGGTACAGTGCAAATCACTTAGTCCCACAACTTTTTATTGGTCGTGTAGATTTTCAAATTCTCCAAAAATGGAAATGCAACACCCAAAAATAAATCGTGTATTTGAAGCCAAGACCTTCCTCTGCAAAATCACGATTTCATCTCATTGGTATGTCATGTTGTTGTGGAGAATTTGAGCTTCAAAGTTGCACAAGTTTACCGAATTTACTATGTTTTAGCCCTGAAATGGCGTGTTACACGCAAAAATAGGCGGATTGAAACAAAATAAAAATAAAAATTTTTTTTTTATATTGCTGATCTTTTATCACGTGAATTTCCCAGACATGAATCAAAAAAGAATTTTACAACAAACAAAAATCATGTGACCATAAAATTTTTATTGCATTTTTGATTGGGAATTTTTCCCAAAATTGGCGGTGTGGCGCAGAAAGTTGTGGGACTAAGTGACTTGCACTATATAACGAATAATTTGGAAGTTTATTATTATTAGTATTCTGAAAAATGTTTTGGGGTTGTGAACCTCCAAGAAACTAGAAAAAAAAAAGATAATAATTGGCCAGTCATTCTAGACATGGGTAATGAATGGCATTTATTATTATTATTAACGGAATTTGGTTTTGTTCGTTTTTAATATTAATATTATTATTATTTTAGTACTATATTACACAACATCCTTAATATATAACGGACATTGTGATTTGGAGACCAATGACAATTTAAATCTCAAAATGACCATTACTATTAGTGTTAAATGCAACTATTTCTTGTTTACATGGATGGTATTCCTAATAAGGGATGCTGTGCATTCAAAGATGAGATTTATAAAAAATCAATGACATAAAAAGATTTGTATTCACGCCAATTATTAAATAATAATAATAATAAAATAAAAACTAATATAAAATGGGTGGTTCACTTTTCTGTTTTCCTTTCATTTTCATTTTTAAATTATAAAAAAAAAAATAAATTCAAAAAATTAGTTGCGAAATAAAAAAAACATGACTTATAATCATCCTAATTATCAACAACAACAAAATCAAAAAGATAATAGTCTACAGTTTCCAAATCTCGATCTCCCACCAATACAAAATTCCGACCAGGTTCTTTTTAATCACGATCAACATCTTTTTCTCCAACAAAACATGGGTCAACAACAACTCCAGCAACAAATTCATGGTCAACAAATTCAACAACAAATATCCCAAAATTATGCTCAGCACATTTATCAACAAAATCCTGCTCATCAACAATTTCAAAGCTGTGGACAATATAATCAAAACAATAATGACAACAATGATAGCATGATGATGATGACAACTCAAATTTTATCACAACAACAACCTATAATTTATAATGATCATCTTTCTTCTTCGAATTGTGAGAGTATTAATAATAATGAAGATGATATTTTAACATTGAGAATTTCTCATCGTATGTTAATGATTAAAGATTGTATTATGATGATAAATCGACAATATGTTGAATTAGAGCAAGATTTTATCAAATTAAGGCGCAGCTATAATTAATAATATATCACTTTTTGATTTATTATCAATTAGTCAACTTTACAGAGACAAACCACATCGAAATAATGTGTTTGGTGTTTAATTGACTCATTTTTATTTATTATCAGTTATAGTTTTATTTGTTTAAAAATAATTATAATTGTGATTATGATTTGGAATTCATCGAGGAAAAAAATAAACAAATTTGCTTTATTTCGCTCTCGATATTTAAATTAATAACCAATATTAATATTAATATTGATCATACATGGATATGGGATCAAAAATCAAATCAAAATCGCACAATTATAATAATAAAATGTAATATATATATAAAATGTTAGTATGTTATTTGATGATTTAATAAAATTTCTTTTTAATTAAATAATGAACAATTCTTATGTCTGTTTATTATAATTCAACCGTTAAAAATATAATATAATAATAATAATAGACTTAGTAACATTACGTCAAAGCAAATATGATAATTATGATAATAATAAATTATAATTTACTAAATTACCACAATGCCTCAAGACCTCAATAGGTAGCGAATCAATTTAATTGTATCGCACTTTTGCTCTCTATACACTTGTATTTGGCCAATAATGTGAATTTGGCTTCATTTCACCTACTGAAACAAAGATTTACAATTAAAGTATGGCGTTTTGTCCATTTAAATTTCTACAATTAAAAAGGTTCCGATAATTATTTAATAGTCATAATTATAATAATAATGATAACAATATTAACAAAAATGTTAAATATAAAAGATATTGCATTATAACAAATAATATTAGATTCGGGTGTCGCGTATGTCTTCGTGACGATTCACTATAATTTCTTATTAAGTGTGGTTATTTTGTTATTCTCAGGGACTAATACTAACGGCCAGCCACATGGAAAGTAATCTGTGTATAAAAAGAATTACGTATGTCGATCTTTTCCATTGCCGCAAATTGCGAATTTTTAACCAGTTTAATGAAATTAGAGATGTTAATCAGTCCTGAACAGTCTGGTTCGGTCCCGGGACTTTAAGTCCCAGAAAGGGTCCAGAAAAAGACCTAGAAAAAGACCTAGAAAAAGTCCCAAACTTTTTTTCAAACAATAAAAATATTTATTACAGTATATACTTTTATTATATATCTTTATTCCTATTTATATATTTTAATATATTTTATATTGAAACAATCTTTGTTTCAATACAACTTTTAAGACATAAACTTGCTCATGCCTTTCCAGGATCCAATTTATTATAAGTTGGACTTAGTGTATATTTAGCCATGCTAAAAGCCGACTCACTTGACACATTAGTTGCTTGTATTGAAAAAAAAAAGCACAAGCCATATATGGGGCATGCTGCAACAAAACCAGACAAAGTGAACATTGTATTACCAAGAATTTCAAGGATCAAAATTAACTATTACTATTACTTACATTACGAATCATTGAATAGCAAGAGTTTAGATAAAAAATAACCTGTCACTTATTTTGCATTTTATAATAATGTATATATTTACTAATGCTAATAAATGCAACATAATATTTTAATAAAGGTTTTTTGTTTATATATATATATATAATATAACATGACATTAGGTTAAGGATTTGAAGAAAGTGGATTCTATTGAAAAGAGTATATAGAGAAGAATAGTGTTTTTATATAGATATATGTGTAGAAGAATAGAAAATATTTACGAAGAAAAGAAAAAGGAAAAAATAGAAAACAAACAATCATGGAAGATGAGGTGGCATTGAAAGTGACACTTTGACATCAATTGTTTTTATGTCCTTCAGCATTATGAACTTCATCAAATCTTGATAGTACTTTAACACTCTCAACTATTATAATTTAAAATATCAAAATTTTAAAAATAATCCTGAATCAAAAACATCTTTACTGTACATGAATAGAAATCAAAAGAACTTACTTTGAACTTTTTTATTGATATTACAACATTTATCATTTGTTTAAAGTCTATTCCTGAGTCTGGAATAACAAAAGAATCAAATTCTTTAACAATAAACAACTTTTCATCAAAAATCATACTTAGGAAGTAAAACTTACGACCTGTTAAAATGATTGAATTAGTCAGTAGTTCTTTGATCAAGACAATTAGAAAATTTTGAATAAACACTAGCCATAAACTAGTATTCCAAATGATTTCAACGTAAGTTTTGATTCATTATAATCATAATGAACATTTTTGTACCATAGTGTTAGCATCATGACTACAATGTAGATATTATGATCGTCAAATACCATGTTTGAATCATATTAATGAATAAGATACATGGGGTGTCTGAAAAGTTTTGACAAAAGCCGTGTAACGTTACGGTCTTCAAGTCAATGAAGCTAAAATTATTTTTAAATAAAAGCCACAGTTTTCATCTTTCAAATAAAAAAAAAATTATTTATTTTGGTTCAATAGTTCCAGAAATATCAAATTTCAAACATTGTCAATAAAAACAAATGGAAAATTCAACACGTGAACACCAACGATACTACATTTTTGTAAGCTGGAAAAATGGAAAACAACCATCCCAAATTCATAAAGAGTTAGAGGTTGCTGAAGGGTCCAAAGCACTATCATTAGCACAATTTATTGATGGATTGAAGCTTTTGAAGAAGGTGAAAATAGTATTGAATATGCTTCTTGATCTGGTCGTCCCCATGAAGCTGTCACACAAGGAACAATTGCTAAAATTGAAGAGCTTATTAATGAAGACCCGCATATGCCTATTAGAAGAATAGAAGAGGAAGTTGGAGTCTCAAAAGAAAGGATTGGACATATTTTACATGATGAACTTGGCCTTCATAAAGTTTGTGCGAAATGGGTTCCACATGTTTTAACAGAAGAAAACAAAAAAAATAGAGTTGAAATTTCTAAGCAACTTCTTGAAATTTTTGAGTGTGGTTTTCAAAATATAGTTACTGGTGATGAAACTTGGATAAATTATTTCACTGTATCTAGCAAAGAATCTAATAAATCATGGGTAAAAATTGGAGAAGACAGGCCGCAAATAACACGAACAGCACGAAACAGTAAGAAACGAATGTTTTGTGTTTTTTTCTCAATTGATGGAATTATAGCAAGAATTGTTGTTCCAAAGGGTCAAAACATAACAGGGAAGTATTATGCCAATCATGTTCTCCCAAAAGTATTTGAAAATTTCAAGCAAATTACAAATAGAAGAACAGTGAAACACTTGTTGCTTCACCATGATAATGCTGCGCCACATAAATCTAAAGTCGTTGATGAATATTTAAGCGAAAATAAGGTTAGAATACTACCCCACCCTCCCTATAGTCCAGATTTAGCACCCTGTGACTTCTTTCTGTTCCCTAAAATCAAAAAAGAACTGGGTGGAAAAAGTTTTGATAGTATAGAAAATCTTGCACATGCTGTTCAGGCAATTACTGATAATGTCACAAGTGATGAATATCAAAACTCTTTCCAGGAATGGCAAAGGCGGCTGAAACTTTGCATAGACGTTAATGGAGAGTACTTTGAAGGAATGTAATAGTTTTTTAAAAAAATCAAAATGTAATTTAGTTAAATAAAAATCGATTCTCAACTTTTCAGACACCCACGTATTTTAAAAAACTGATTTGTTACACGAATCGGATTTTCTATTTTATATATGTAATAATATTTCTTTCCGTGTAAATAATAATGGAAGGAGATGAAGGTGAACAAGTTGCTCCAAATTTTAATAAAGAAGGATGGTATACTGATGCTTTAGGTAAGTAAGTTAATATCAACCATTCTACATATGTATACATTGTTCATTTACACACATGGCAAATTTTTTTATTAAGATTATTGGTCTTCAACACCGGCAACTATTAATGGTATGTTGGGAGGATTTGGAGTAGTTTCACAGTTAGAAACCAATTCATCTATCGAATTTATTAAAGAGTTTATTGAAGGAAGAAAAGGAGCACGTAATGTAATAAAAGTTCCACCATATATAACAAAATCATATGCATTAGATTGTGGTGCAGGGATTGGCAGAGTTACAAAGCATTTTTTGTTAAAAGTATTTGAAAAAGTAGATTTGGTAGAATATACACCAAAGTTTATTAAACAAGCCGAATCACAATATCTGCTTAATGAGAAAAAATCAGGCAAAATAGGTAAATTTATATGTAAAGGATTACAGGAGTTTACACCAGAAACAAAAAAATATGATATGATTTGGTGTCAATGGGTTCTGTCGCATTTAACTGATGAAGATCTAATTCAATTTTTTAAAAGATGTAAAATTGGATTAAAAAATAATAATGGTATTATTGGTATTAAAGAAAATATTAATGCAATTGGTTATTGTTTAGATAAAGATGATAGTAGTGTCACCAGGTAATAATAAATCTGAAAGAGAATGAGAACGAGAATTTGATGGAGAAGATAATGCTAATTGATTGATCTGTTTGCTCAAGTAATAAAAAAAAATTATTTTCTTTTATACATTGTATTTTAGATCTGATAAAATATTTAAAGAAATTTTTGAAAAATCTGGATTAAAATTAATTAAAGAAGCAGTTCAATTTGGAATGCCTGAAGGTTTATTTGAAGTAAAAATGTAAATATCATTTATTTATATTTTTTTTTATCGTAATTGAATTTTATATGATTGGTTATTTATTAAATTTATTATCTAAAGGTATGCCTTGAAACCAGTTAATCATGGTGATGATGATGAATGATGAAACAATTTAGATTTTTAGAGTTTTAGTCTTTAATAAATAAAATTACTTTTTCTTTTGCTTTTCAAACAATAAACTAGAAATAATTTAATAATAGGCTAGGTTTTTAATTTGGTATATAAGTGGGAATTTAATTTTAAATCTTTTAGAATAACGTATAGAATAAATTATTTTTATCATTCAAGTTTACAAAAAATATATATATGCAAAAAATCTTAGATAGAAATAATGAAACTCGTAATTAAAAAAACCATTATCTCTACGGTTTTTTTTTTATGATTAATATTAGATTAAAAGGCCTAGGCCCTTCTTGTTGGTTTATTAGAATGTTTAAAGAATCATCATCAGTAACAACAGCTTGATCTTGAACTTAATTTTTTGGTGAATGGATTCTTGAAATATTAACTGATAAAATATATCTTGATGTGATTAATTATTTATAATTCAAATAAATACCTGCGTCTTCAAGCATTTATTTGAATGTTCTTTTTTTCTTCTTTCTTCAATATCATTGATAATCATCAAAAACTTATTACTTTATTGGTAAAATATTAACAATTATCTGAACAATATAGAGAGGATAATAAGTCAATTATTCTAATCATGATATATATTATTTTAGATGGATTTTTTAAGTCAATAATTTGGAAGCTTGCATAACACCAGCCTCAATTTGTTGTCGCATCTAATTCTGGCCCAAAGAATTAGATAAGATTAAAGGAAACAACATCCCAAATTTAGGCGAAACAGAAAAATTTTAATTAATAAATATAGATCGATGACTCTTATATATGATTTATTGTTAGAACATCTACCAACTTCATACATCAAAATCACTTTTGCCAGATTTCGATAATTACCCTGCCCTACCTCTTCCACCCCTTCCATTTCTTCTCCCCCCTCTTGATCCTCTTCCACCACTTCTTCTATTCGTAGTTGTAACAGCATTGGTAGCTCTATTCGTGGTTGTAATAGCATTGGTAGCAACATTCCTATTAACATTATCCCTCAAATGCGTTTGAACACTCTAAATAATAATTAAGTAATAATTAAAAATCAAGAATAATAATAATCAAGGTAATAATAAAAAATTTTTGATTGATATTTACCCTTATAAGTTTTTGTTGTTCTTGGTTTGATTTAACGAACATTTCTTTATACATTACCAGACTTTCTGTAACAACATTTTCCTTCATATATTCTCCATCACAAACCATTTTAAGTTTAATTTCCATCTATATATATATAAATAATATGTTAAATAAATATGCAAATATATATCTGAACAACATATATATCTTTATAATAAAAAATAATTTACTTGTCGTCTTAAATATGGTTTTGAAAGTGACATCTCGAAACCAATAGAATCATATCCTTCTACTAATGCTATACCTAAAGGTTGTGGAATTATATATGTTTTATTACCTCTATTTTCTTTTGTAATATAATTTCGCTCTAATATTTTAGCAATATGCTCATGTATAGTTGCATCAGTTCCTGTCAGAAATTTAATATATATTAATAATAAAAACATATCCTTATCAAGTCTATCATATTTTATCAACCCTACTGAATATTACCGATTCCATTTTGATCCATTATGCTAATTAATTCTGTTTCTGTCAAATATTCTGGACTGGTGGTTTGTCCATCTTTCATTTCACAACTTGTTGGAATAATTTGTTCTCCTTGTTGAAAATCTGGTAAAAATGTCCCAGTCCATTGATCAAATGGATAAACATCCAAATAATTCGTTTCTAATATCACCAATCCTTTTGCAGCAAACTTTTCCTCGTGTACTTGAATTTTCACTGCTGTCTCATGCCCAATAGCATCATCCGAACAACAAGCCAGAAATCTTCTAACTATAAAATCGTACACTTGTTTCTGTTCTCGTGTTAAATTTGATACATAGGCTGTTGGATGAATTGGGGGATGTGCTTTATCATTTTGATTACCTCTTCTAGGTGGTTTAAATTTATCTTCCAAAAGGCTTTAATAATCAATTAATAATTTATTATTTTTGTTATTTCATATTAGATATTATATTATTTTCACTATACCCTCTTGCAAAATCTCCCCAGTCATTTGAATCTACTTGTTTCTCAATCAAATGCCTTAAATCAAAGTTATTATCAAATTGATTGGTTTCGGTTCTAGGATAACTTATATAGCCTTTATTATACAAATCTTCTGCAACCTGTTATATATAATTTATAAATTCTTTATAATGACGATAATAATAATAATAAATTGATAGTTATAATAGTAGATGATGAAACTTAACTTACTGCCATTATTCTATCTGACGACATTCTTAAAGCTCTTGTAGCAACCTTTTGAAGTTCAATAGTAGTTAATGGATATGGTTTCCTATCAGTTAAGTGTTCCATCATTACTAAACACGCCCACAAAAATTATTATTGATTAAATTTTTCCAACATCGATAACAATTATATTACAATTACCATTTCTTTGTTTCTTTAGAAATAACTTCAACAACTGTTGCCATAGGATTTAATGCACATTGTTCATAAATTACGAAACATATCTCTTTATCAAATAAATGATTCCTTTCCCAGTGAAATTCTACCAAGATTTCTTCTTTTTCCAAAGCCACTTGTATTTTCCAAAATTCTTCTGGAATAAAATTTCCAACTTTATGATGTTGATCCACCACAAATCCTAATGTTGGAAATTGACATGACCCTAGACAAAAATTGTAATAATATATATCATAAATTATTACGTCCAAATCACTCCCCACTCTCCGTAAATTTTACTATCAAAATGATTGCATGAGAGAGGGTGTGGTATACACTAACGAATCACGCAAAGAAATTATATCACATAATTATTACATTAATCAACAAATATGGAAGGGGCATTATTACGTCCAGTCACCCTAACGTAATCATTTTACTAGTAAAAAATGACCTTTACATCTCTATATAATCCAAGACATTCATTCATTTTTATTTGTAAAAAAATAATTAATACTAACCATAACTTATAACTTGCTTTTGAAGTTCTGGAAATAAATGTTGGATACTTAATGTTTGATATCTAGTAAAAGCTGCCCCAATTCTTAAATCAAGTTCTATCCTTGCATCTACTGCATCAGATTGATTCATATCTAAGCCAACAGATCTTCTCCATGCTCTAAAAATTTGACTTTATATATATGTATATATTGACAATTGTTTTTTAATTTTTTAATTAATAAAAAATTTTTTTTAATCATATCTTTCCTTACTTACTCGGGAATAATAGCGGAAAATCTGGCTCTTGTTATTCTAATTCCACGTTTTGCTTGTTCACATATAGATGCAATTTCTGATCCTATATTTTCACCTTCTCGATCACAATCTGTCCATATCATAAGTTGATCAGCTCTTTGTGCCTCATGATATAAATTATCTTTAATTTGTCTATTTTCCTTAAAACCACATACATATAATATAGGTAGACATTTAATAAATGGTTTTTTTATCTAATTCCATTTCAACTTTAATCCATTAATAAGTTAATTACCTCCCCAACAAATTTTATTATAGGTGCTTGAAATAATACTAATGGGGCACAAGAATCCCATTTTCTATATTCTGGTGCAAAATCATATTTCATCAAATGTCCTGATACAGCTGTCATTGTAACTTCTACCATTTGATCATCATTAAAGATACAACTAAAGTCATAATTTTTTATAAATCGATTTCCAGACTGACGCTATACAATAACATTATTATTATTATTTATCAGTTGTAGTTGTGGTTATTGTAGTAACATACATAGTATGTTAATGATAATAATTATTATTTGATATCCAAATCATCACAGGATTAAATCATGACTTAGTAACTAACCGTTCTAAATCCTCTATTTGACAATATTTCTGCAACTGATTTCGATATTGATGGTTTTTCGGCAACACATAAGATTTTCATTCTGTTTTTATTTTTATTAAATATTGAAATAAATAATATTATTATTTTTTACGCGTAAAGTGAGTAAAATAGTTGTTTTTTTTTATATATATATATTTCTGATTTTCATCACGTGTAACTTGTTGTAAATCATTTCCGATTTATCTTCAAGTTTCCCGTGATTTTAAATGTTAATAGCTAGGGGTATTAGTATGGGGTTCAACAAGAATGTTACACACTAGTAATTCACAAAACCAAAACTGTCCACACCCTTGAAATTCACAAAATTTTACCATTTTATTTAACAAAATAACGTTTTTGCTTTGTAAGCTTAATAAAAACTTAGCAAAAATAATGTTTCATTGTACCACCATTACTTTCGCCGGGGACTGTATATCTGTGCGTAACATTATAAAGTCTAGAAATTTTTATTCAGTAATAAGGTTTATTCAAACAACAATTAATGATGAATTATTCAGAGTTGTAATTATATTAATCGATCTAATAGGAATAAAGTTAGAATCCATTATAACAATTAACTTGCGTAATCTACACCCTTGTTTTCATTCGGATATTTTTACACATGTCAAGATGATGAGACTGCACTAACTTTTTTTATTATTTGAATAATTAATACTCAGTATTGGAGGTTAAAAATATTATAATTATGCTTATTTTTTTTCTATGGACAATCTCAGTAAATGTTTTTATATGTGTGATCTTGACATCATTTTACGTCATTTGATTATATAGAGAAAAACACACATTTGTCATGATTTATTCTCTATTGGTGATCTGGATCAGAAGAGTCTGTCTCAGGTTCAGTTTCAGATTCACTATTTTTCACAATTGGGATTGCAAAATTATCATGTACAGAAAGTTGTTATTACACATATCAATCGTTGTGCATTTTTTTGCAACCATGGGTTTCCTAACACTAAATCAGGCCCAGGCCAATCTGATCCAAGAACCAAGAATTCAACGGAATCGATACTTTTATTTTTCCCATCAACATTAGTAGAACTAGCTCCGCTAAAATTAGTTTGCAGTTCAACCTTTCCTAATACAGAAAATGCTCCATCAGGAGTTTGTAATTTGAGACAATTGGTTTCATTTACATGATGTACTAAACCCAACTCGTTAATAAATTTTGGGTAATTAAATCTGCGTTAGCGCCTGTATCAATTAATGTTTCAATAAGAGGTTTTTCTTAAACTGCGTAATTTACAAACAACATTTTGGTTATATTATTAAACACTATATCTTTGAGCGAGAAAAAAATCAAATCGGAATTAATTACTTATGAGTCACTGACTCTGGGCTCTGCCCATTCTCTACTACGAAGCACCATTATCTATTTGCATCAAAAATAATCCACATTCCGAAAATTAATCTGAATTATTATCGGATATATAATCTAACACCTTGTGCTTTCTCTGCTAAATTTGTACATTTATGTGGTATTTTCTGCATTAAATATATTATTTTATTATAATAAATATGTATGATAAGTAATACTAATAATAAATCTGATCAAAGCGAAACACTTGCTCAATTATATGAAGTGTTTTTATATAAGAAGAAGGATATAATAGCAATTCAAGAAAAACTTGGTATTAATGGCAATGTAAATCATGTAAGAATGCATCAAAGCAAAACAAAACATGAGCCCGAAGGCAAAACACTTGTTGATTCGTATAAGTTATTATTTAATTTGGTGGGAGGTTTAATACCAATACAGAAAAATCTTTACATTGATGACAATCCCATTCTAGCAGTGGAGTGGTCATTCACCTCCTTAGCTTGAACTTGTAGAACAGATTATATCAAAGAAAAACTACTAGGCTCAACAAAATCATCTGGAATTACTCACCTTGTTCCAGTTACTGTTGACAAAGAAGAAAAGCAAACAGCAGAAAGCTCAATGTCAAACAAGGAATTGATATTGATAATCCAATCATTGATTGAGTTGTTGAATGAAACAAATCGCCCACAGTTCAAAGGATTAGCAATGAAAAAGAATCACATGATTCATTTCGTAGATACGTTGATCATTACAGTATTTAGAAATTCCATATTTGGAAAACTCCCTGACTGCATTTGTTGACAAAGATGCCAATGCATCTCATGTTGGGGAAATCTTGCAAAGATCTATGGGATTATATAATTTGTTCATATGAAGAGAATTATGAAGAGTTGATAAGTGAGCTTATAAATAAATTGAGATTTATTGGTTTGCATGTACACAGTAGGTGACTTAATAAAATTCATAACTGTGATGCTATGATAATTAGTTATATGGAAGAATAATAATTTTATAATTAATAATTCATGATTAACTTTTCATCATAACTTGGTTATTAATTAAATGATAATGATATTATAAAAAATGTCACGTTTGAAATATTTCAATAGGAATTCTGTATTTCAAAATAATAATAATTTTAATAAATAATTTTTAAAAATAAATTTCTTTGTATTTTTTTTTAATAATAATTGTTATGAATCAACCAAAGCAACTTTCTCAACAAATAATTTTTCAGCATTCAACCATACATTTGAATTTGTTCTATTTTGTAATTCCAATAAACTAGGCAATAAATCTTTACTAAATTGTTCACTACTCTCTTTAGGAAGCAAAGTTGGCAAATGATCGATAGAAATAACTTCAAGAGGCTTTGGATTCCTATTATGATGTATATGTGTAAATTAGGATTAATGATCATATATGATGATGATGATGATGATGATGATATAAAAAGATGGTAGTTATGAATTTAAAAGAAAAAATTTACTTTGTTTCAATCAATTCTGTTGGATTTTTAAATGTGGTACTAATGTTGTAAACAGGAACAGGGTTATTGGGATTTGTTATATCACAACTGACATCTACAATCACTGAAAGGTTCCTTTTTTGATCAAGCATTTCTTTTGTAATGAAAGGAGGAATGTTTTGACTAAGATAGATACAATTAACAAATATATCAACATCAAGAATTTCTGAAAATGGACCTCCTTTTTTTGTTTCTTCAATATCCCATTTAATAATATTTTCTCTATGAAATAAATATTAATATATTTATTTTATTTGTTAAAAATTATTTAATAGCCCTTTTTCTTTTTTGGGGATTGAAAAAAAATATATATATATAATTTACACATATATTCTTACTTGTCCATTCCAACATTATGAGAAATATCACATGCACCTTTACCACATCTACCTAATGCTCCCATAATCAAAATACGAGGTGAAACTCCACTATGCACTACTTTAATAACATAAAGAGAATTACATATATATGATTATTATTAAAAATACATTATAAATTTTATAAATACCAGCTCCATTCAACCGATTTTTTATGTGTTTAATTAAATCATCCTCATTTGGATATGGGTTAACACTTGGATATTTTTGTTTGGGGTGAAGAATTTGTTGTGCCCAAACATCTAGTCCAATAGCTGCTCCAGCAAACCCCGCATGATAACCAAATGCAGCAACACGACGACCTATCAAAAATTATAAAATATAAATATTAATATGAATACATTAAATTTAATTATTTGTTGACAAACCTTTTTCATCATTTAAAAACTCTAAATCAAGAAGCAATCCTTTGCCATTGATAAACCTTTTTAGAACATTTTGCCAACCAGATTGATTCTTATAACAATGTGCAAAATAAATATGTGTATGAGAAAGAGGTGAATCGTCATTTTCTGGTAATTCCTTTAAACCTATTATGTAAGTGTCGGATGGAGCTGCTTTCCAAGTTCCAGATTGAACTAGTGTACAACCAATTCTAAGTAATCAAATAATGAAGTTGATAATAATGATAATGATAATAAATAATCGAAAATAAAATTTTCAATTAATAAATAAATATTTTTTTTCAAGATTTACAAACCTTTCATACTCTTCATCATCAAAAATACGTTGCGTAGATTTTTCTACTGTGATTTTAAAGCCTATACGCATAACATAAACATAAACATAAACACATATAAAGTATTATTACAAGCATAAAAGTTCAATAAAATGACATTGGGGAAAAATTTACTACCATTTTGAATTAATTGTTTGCTTGTATTTGGTGTTAAAGCTGCTCGATGTTCATCAGCTTTTGTTTCAGCACGAAGCCATAAATGTACCATTTTTTTTTTTGAGCGATTTTTTAATTTATTTTAAAAAAAATTTACGTATATTTATTTTATTTTATTTTTTATAATAATAGAATTGAAGAATGCGACGACATTGCCACTGAAAAAACTCTACCTACTGCGTAAAGATTGATTAAATAGTAGATCTCAAATTGCATGTTTTGTCTCATGGCGCAGATATAGAAGAGTGTGATTTTCGATACTTTTGTTAAAAAAAGCGAATTTTATTAAATAAACCCAAATCAACCAACATTGGGATAGTCTGCAAATGCCTCTAGACAAATTGGGCTTGGTGTTTCAAGTTTTCCTTTTAACAAATTGTGAAGGTCTTTTAGATTTTCTACCAGTTTTCTTATCCATAAGATGTAAAAGAGACTAAAAAAAGGAAAGTCGTTTAATTAAAAAACTATTACCATTTAAAAATTCTGTGCAAATATATATATGCTTATGTTGTACTCATATAAACTTATATTTAATCTTAACTGAAATTGATACTTTACATGAGTGAATATGCAAAACAGTATTGTAACGAGCACAAATAATTTTTTTATAATCAAGGGTTGCAAGTTGAGCATCAAATTAGATGAAATTTTAACTGGTTGATCCTAAAAATATTGATTTAATATTTACATGTGTAAATATAAAGTGAACATTGGCATTACCAAGGATTTCAGGGATCAAAATTTAGTTATTATCATCAGATCTATTATGGAACCGAAAATTACAGCACCATTAGAAGTATTTTAAAAAAGGAACAAGGTGAAAAAATTGCTCCTTACATTTCAAAATAAATGATACTCAGGCAATTGAAACTTATCTAAGAAAAGAAAAGATTACTTATTATTATGAAATTTACCAAGGAAGAAAAATAATAAACACTAGAACATTAACACAGAACCCAGAAAGAAAAGAAAATCAGCAGAGAAATAATTTGCTGTCTGATTTTAGAATAATATAATGAATATATTGTCTTTTAAAGATTAAAGATATTAAAAAAAGTAAAGCTCCGAACTAGCAGAACCGGCTCGAGCTCGAGCCAAGAAATAATAGGCTCGAGCCGGTCTCAAGTCTGACGTCACATAATTTTTTTTAAAGTAACAAATGATTAATTTTATTTATGCACATTACCTAAAAAAATTTCAAGAGCCTATTTTCTTGAAAATTCAAGTTTTAACTCGAGGTTGCTCAACTTAAGTAATAAAGTGAATAAAACGAACGATTCGAATACAAGAATAAAACGAAAGATTCGAATAAACGAATAAAACGAACGATTCAAACGATTCGAATAGACAAATAAAACGAATGATTTGAATGATTCGAATAATTCGAATGATATAAAAATGAATATGAATAATTCAAATAAACGCATAAACGAATAAAATAAACTAAACTAATAATTCGAATTAATTGAGTTGTATTACGGATAATTCGAATGAGGATTTGTATTACGAATAGGAATTCTAGCTGATAATAAAGATTTTTTAAACAGGCTGCATTTCGTTTTAATTCTCTACAAATAATATTTGAGCAAACATTGTAAAATTTATACAGTTGTTTCAACAAATTTCGCGTTACAGTGTGTCACAATAATACATCCAAAATAATTGGTCTTCTTAAAATTGACATGGATCAAATTCCCATGCACTTTTTGAAAAAAAACAACGTTAATCAATTATTTTAGTTAAGAGCTATTGAGCTACGTTGAGCCTTTTTAAATAAGTTCAGTGTAACAAGAG